TAAGGTATCTGAGACGAAGAATATTCTAAATGTGATCACCCATCCAGCATGGCTGTCAGGCGCCACTAAGATTAAACGAAAGAATCATAAGATGAAGGCCTTTCACTTTTAATCCTTTTACAATGAACCTTTAGATAGTCTTGGGGGCAGGGTGCCTTTTCTGTGGGTAAGAGTGTGCCTCGTTCCTCTTCACTAAGTTAATGAATACTCACAACAGTAAGGTAACCGGGCCCTCCCCTCCTGCCACCCTATTGGATGGGAAGGGAAAGTGCAGTAAAGAAGAGAAAGAAAATACCTCGAGGTCACAAAAAATAGTCCTATGTTGAAAATAATTAACATAACTGATGGATAAATAGATTTCTCCAGATTTTAACTAAAATGTCTGGAATTCCAATATAAATAGAGAAAAGTCCAATTCTTTACCTCATTCTCTCTGCCAGCAAAACTATTGGAGGGATGCAGGGAGTGAGTGTAAGTGTCCCACTTTACAGATGCTAGTCAATCATCTTTAGCAAATGTTCCAAAATGTTTCTGCAGTGGGTGACAATCTACCACGTTAACAAGATTGTCGCAGTGTGACATGGCTATGATTTACAGCAGCCTCTGCCGACCTGGTGCCATCTAGACGAGTTGGACTGCAACTCCCATAATTCCCAGTCAGTACCACCAACAGAATGATGAGAATTACAATCCAACACATCTGAATGCCATCCAGTTAGGAAAAACTGCTTTACAGATGTGCATATTATAGCTCAAAAAAGCCTAATCAATCCAGCCCTCCTCCTGGAAAATCAGAGCTCTATTTAATGTCGACTTGTGCATGATTCTGTTCTAATAAATGTAGAAATGTATTTCTACATTTAGAAATGTATTTTATGCCTCTGAAGAAAGGAAAGGGGTGTGTGAGAGCAATAAAAAAGACCCCTCCCAAATGTGTGTGTCAGATACTTCCACTATCTGGAAAGGAGTCACTTATATTGCATTTCTTTGCATGTCAATTCAGAGGAGACCTCCAAGACCAGTGGACCTTGTCCCCAGGTAAATGTGCAGTCTTAGAATAAATTACTGCCTTGAGAGGTGCAAGGAAGCATGTTGAATAGCTGGGAAGGGTGCTTACAAGTCACACATCATCTCAGAGTCAGCATTGTAGATCTCAAAACCCCACCCTTCCCAGTGGAGGCATGTCTTCAGTTGGTTAGGGAGTCCCTGGAGAGCTGCAGCTGAGGGTTTGGACTGCCCTTCCTTGCCCCAGACTGGAAGTGTCCTCCCATCCTCCCTGACCATGCAGTCCAAAGCTTCTGGAGGGGACCCGATCAGGTAAGGCTGGGATAAATGCAAGTCCCTTCTCTGCCAGTTTTCCCCATGAGGATTCATTCCTACATGCACGAGGCAGGCACCTCTGGGTGCTTCCGTCAGCACAGCAGCAAGGTTCATCTTCCATGTGTGATCTTGGTGTAAGCAAGTGAGGTTAAGGGCAGAATCCTGTAATTCAGCAGAACAAGTCCTACAGCTCCCAGCAATGCCTGCCAGCAGGGCTGGCACTGTTCTGCCTGAAGATGCATAGGGTTGCACCCCATGGTTCCCCGTTTATTCAAATCGAAAGGCACCAGAAGGAAGCCTGGTTTTAAAGCCTAGGGCTCAGGCTTCAGCTTATGTATTGCATGCAAGTTTCCCCTTTCCTTTCTATTCTTTCTCCTTCCTCCCAGTATTGACAGTGAGTTTCACATCTGGCATTAGCCAGACTCCAAGGTCAGAGGGCATGGCTTCCAGACAGCGTTAGCCCACATGGGCCAGCCCCACAGAACCTCTCTGTATGGAAACAAACAATGCATTGGGAAGGCTGTGGTAGAGTGTCCCCTTCTGCAGTCATTAGCCAAGGTTAATCTGTTACAGGAAGTAGGCTGATAAGGCATTAATTGCTCCAGGTAATGTTTGAGGTCAGGGAGGGTGTGAATTTCACCTGAGGTCAGGAAGGCCCCTTGCCACACTAGTTACCCCCATAAACCTGAGCTCATTTGAGCCAATCCACACTGCAGTTCTCTGGAGGAAGGGCTATAAGGGTCCTGTGTCAGCACCACAGGGGTGCGATTGCTGTCCTCAGCAAAATAAACTTGACCTGGGAATGCAAATAAATGTGTATCAGCCAGAGGTCTGGTCAGCTTGCAACTGCCATTGCTGTTTTCACTGGGCTGAGGATACGAATGTTGGAAAGGTAATATTGGACCAGCTTTAGGACCCCAATTGCAGCCCTATGCAAAGGAGTGCTGCTCATAGGCAGGGGTGTGCTTGATCGCAGCCTTAGCCAGGAGGTGCCTGGGATGTGCCAAGCTCCACATCGCCAAAAGAAAAGTCAGCAAGAGTAGCCACATGTTGGCTTCATCAGCGTCCCTTGAATGCACGTGAATCAATGTTGGGGCCCTATCATAGTCCAAGAAGATCTTGCCTTAACCCACTTTATTTGTAAGGAGGTATAAGAATGTACCTTTCCTGGCAAAGCTCCTGCATCTTTGACCTGGCAGGCAGAATTCTAAGAGGTGCCGTTTCCAGAAACTCAATTGCTAAGAAATGCCCCCCATCACACACATACATGTGGCTTCAAAAAACTGTGATTTGTGTCTCACACGGATTCACTAGAAGGACTTAGGGAAGCTGTTCTTTGTCTCCACATCTACAATACTGGGACTGGGGGAAGGAAGAGCAGCACTGACCTACCTTGCTGGTCTGTTGTTGAGATGGCTGATATAATGTATATCAGCCCCACTCAATGGTTCTACAGAATCCATGCCAAGACCCAGTGCTCCTATATCCCTGTGCTTTGAAAAACCAACCCCTCTTGAATTTCTGGCCACCTTGAATTTCGGGCTCTTTGACCACCATGGAAACCACTACTTAGGACACCCCGTGTGCCTGCAAGGCAGCGCTGTCACTTCTGTTCTTCTCATGGTTCTGTTCCAGAGCTCAAAGCTCTCACAAGGATTTTGTTCTTGAAGCCACTTGAAACTAGGAAGAAATCTCCACCACTAGGAAATCTCCACTCGCAATAAGGAGCATGAAGGTGAGCAGGGGGTGTGCCTGCCCTGCCTCCCTTAAGGTGCAGGAGTGTTAAAGAGGCAAGACGTGTCCTTGTTGCACCCGCGTCTTTCCGCTGCCCGAATGGCACGGCCGCCGGGTGGCTTGATCTGGATAAGCAGATCTTGCCTTCTTCGGTGTGAAAGTGCCCGTCCCTCTTTCCGTACAGCGCCGCCACTGCTGCCAGCGACAGGCCGCCCACATACCGCAGCCAGCACAGCGAAGGGGAGGGGAGAGGTGGGGCAGGCGTCTTCTCCATCACCTTTCGCGGTCCAAGCTCCGGCAAGCGGCGGGGCTGAGCGGGCTGAGGCAGCAGCTCAAGGTGATGAGCGAAGTTGCGGGGCCGCGCTTTGCTAGCGTGTCTTTTCCCCCGGGAAGCAAAGGGTTAAGCGAAAGGGGGCGGATAGGCCGAAAGGGGCGCTGGCTCGCTTCGGCCCCGGATAGGCGATGGTCTCCAGCAAGCGCTCGACGACGCGTCGTCGGGGGTCAGGTTTCAGCAAGGCGCGACCACAATGGTAGGTGTCAGAGACACGTGTCTCCTTGTAAATGAGATGTCAAAGCGGCAACCATTCCGCCTCTCGACCCCCTCCCCCCCCCGCGCTCCTGCTCCTAAGGCATCTGCCCTGCGCCTTCTTCCAGAATGGGTGACAGCCAAGTCCGGGGCCGGGGAAGAAGCGAGAAGCGAAGCGAGGAAGCGGCATGAGAAAGCAAAGTCACCGGCCAGTCCCGCCGCCTCTCGCCCTTCCCTCCTAATCCCCCCCGCCGCCCGCCCCACCTGGCTCGCTCCAAGACGCGCGGCGCGGGTCTCCCGCACACACTTGCTCGGCAATCGATCCGCCGCAGCAATCGATCCGCCGGTGGGGCTGGCTTCCGCGTCCACGTGGATGATGCAGCGCGATGAGGACGGGCCCGAGCGGCCCCCGAAGGGTCACCGAGCAGGAGCAAGGCGAAGGGGGCTCGCGAAGCGCCGCCAGCTCCCTCCCGGCGGCTCGACGCCGCCCCTTTGCGCAGCCAGCCTCCCTCCCCCCGTCCGCAGCCCCGCACCGAACAGAATCCACGGGGCTCGAGTTTTAGTGGTTGACTTTAATTCTGAACTGAACTTTCGACTACAAGGGAATGAATATAAAGAATAAATAAAAGACCCTCTTCCATTTACAGAAGATTAAAGACATTTAAAAAGTTCACTATATACAATAACACCGTCTCCTAAGCTTTTATTATAACCATATCTTGACGTCCATGAAAAAAATCCACACGTGACTCATTCATACATTTTCCGAACAATGGAAAATATATTTTATATATATATATATATTTGTACATACATATATATATATTTATAAAATGTTTCTTTTCTTAACAAAAGTTCACGTTCTTTAAAAAAAAAGACTTCGCCAAAAAAAAAAAATCTAAGAAAAAAGCGAAGTTTTCTTGGGGGGTCGTTTGTTTTGCCATTCCCCAAACGCTTCTCTCTGGAATATAAATTAAAGGGAGGAGGGGCGGGCGGAAGACGACGCCTTCAGAGCGACGATCAAGGCGAGCGCTCTTAAAGATACAGTAGGCGAGGATGCGTTCACGGCGTTAACACTGACCTTTTCCATGCGCGATTCAAACGGGGGTGGCGGGCTGGGCTGCCTGTGTTCTCTCTCCGCGCACACGCCCTCTCTCAGTCCGGACGCACCCGCCGCAGGCACAACAAGGTACAGTCCGACCTAGCGCTGCGCAGTGCAACGGTCAACCCCAGAAGCCGAAGCGCCCGCGTTTTCGAGCCTAGCAAAGTCCGCCGCAGTCTGGGCTTATTATGGGGGGGGGCGGGAAAAGGGGGGGCGCACGACTTAATTCTGTTTGCAGCGGTCTGTCTTTCGGGCGGCGGCGGCGCTGGGAGTGAAGTGCACGTGGAGCGGCAGCCGCTCCCTTCCCCCTGCCCCCTCCTAGCAGGAGCATTTGCACTCGGCGATGATGGGGTACTGGATGGGGATCCACGTGCAGCGCTGCCCGCCGCGGCGCTGGCACCTCCACCTCAGGATGGTCAGATGCACCGACTTGGCGGGCTTGCACACCATGCCTTCCGGGACGGAGCACGACCGCTTGCTGAAGCAGCTGCCCACTTTCACGTAGCGCGGCCAGAAGCGGCTGCCGAGGTCGTTCCACGTGTAGAGCACCGGGCAGAAGGTCTGGGACCACAGCCACAGCTGCAGCTTCCGGCGCAGCTTCTTGCTCAGCCGGTGCTTCTTGCTGGCCTGGAGGCCCCCGTCGTAGAACTCCAGGCTCTTGATGTCGCTGGGCATGGCCCCCGACGGCCGCTGCCGCAGCAGCAAGTCCAGCTCGGCCAGGTCGTCCCCGCCGAGGCGATCGTCCGGCAGCGAGGCCGCCATGAAATTCGGGTCGAAATGGGTGCCCAGCAGGTTCCGCAGCAGCGTGTCGTTCAGGTCCTTCTCCTTGGGGTCGAAGATAGGATCCGGGTGCTCGATTAGATCCACCAGGGGCAAGTTGTCGCTCGGGGCCGGGCGGATGTGCAGATAGTGCTGGCAAGCGCCCTGTTCCAGCCGGAGACCCAGGAGAACCACCAACGCGTAAATAGTCACCAACCACTGGGGCTGATCCATCCTCGGACAGGCGGAGGGGAAGGGGGAAAAAGGGGGCAGGGTTCACCCAGAAGTGGGCCCGAGCAAATGCATCGGAGACGCTTGCGCGGGGAAGGAGACGAAGGCGTCGGGGTATCCAAGCAAGGCGCGGCGGGATCGGCCCCCGCTACCCCCTAGATGCGCCGCTCGGGATTCACCTGGAGCAGCCGCTGCCTTGCTGCAAAAGCCTCTCCTCGTGTCTGGCGAGGATGCAACAAAACAAAAAGCATAGAATCAATTAAAACCCACCCCGTGCGGAGAGCTCGGACGCCTCCTTAGCTGGGCGCGATCACGCCTCCCGTCTCCGGGGCTTGCGGATGTTCTTCCGTCGCTCTGCACAAGCCTCCGCAAAGTTCCCCTCCAGTTGCCGTTTCTCTGCAGCCTGCAGCACCACCGCCAGCATCAGCCGCCGCCACGCACGCTGGCACCAGTGTGTCTGCTTCGCGAGGATCCAGCGCCTTTAAATTTCCTGCACTTTCTGCCCCATCACTATGGAAACCTACGACTCGCTCTGTGCAGGCAGCTCTCCTTAAAAGAAAACGAAGGCGAGGAGGGGGGCAGGCGAAGGCGATCCCTTCACTAGCAAAGTCCCACTGCGGAGCTCAGGTCCCACAACCTCCGAGCCATCCACCAAGGGGGGCGAGGGTCCCTCTGCGTCCCGCCGCAAGCGCGCCCTTCACGCGTGGCTTCAACGGGGATGCTCGGCGCGGACGGCTCGCCTGTGGCCTTCTTGCAGCCGGCAGTGCCCGGTCTTCGTTAGCTCCGCCGCCGCCCTTGGGCATTCATTCCCAGCCACCCCGGCTGAGCAAAAAGTTGCAAGACGGCGTTGGAGATTCGCTCCCTCCCACCCTCTCGAGCAGGAGTTCAGTTCCGGAGGCAGGAGATCTCGGCAACCTTGCAAAGCATCTAGGTGCTCCACGTGCGTCGTCCTGGCTGCTTGCTTCTCTCTCGCGCGCTCGCTCTCTTTGCACTCGCCCCCCCTCAAACTCTTTCCCCTCCTCTTGCTTTTTTTCTTATTGCCCTGCTACCTGGTGGCTGCTGCATTTATTTGCGCGGCTCCACACATGAGCCCGTGATGTAATTCATAAGCGCTCTTGTTGGCTCCCGGCCCGAGAAGTTCTCTGCAGACGCCTCCTCTCCCCAAGCGTGAAATTGCTGGCTAATGCTAATTCAAGCTGGAGCAGAGCGCCCTCTGCTGGCGCTTGCTTGCACGCCGCTCTCCTGTGTCCGACAGGATTTCGTGTTTAATATTCCAGGCATGGAGAAGGAACGAGGTTGTTACACAAACTATCAGGAGGCCTGAATGGAGCTCGCCCATCATGCTTTGTTCCCACACAGTTCTCATTTTCTTCGAAGGCCAACAATGCAATCATTCACACCCAGGCACACAGTGCTTTTTTGCAGGAAGCATCTTAGAACCATGCCTGTACACTCTTTCCTCCAACTGGCATGGAAGGAGAGCTCCCAGTTCCCTTAAATCAGAGATAAGCAGCCTGGGGTGCCAGAGATGGTTTGCACTGCTGCTCCCCTCATCCGTGGCCACTGGCCATGCTGGCTGGAGCTGAAAGGGGCTGTAGTCCAAAACTGGGAAGGTGCCAGGTTGTTCAGCCCTGCCATCCACTGTTTCTTCCATTCACTGATGCCTTCAGGAAGGGTTGCTCAGCTTTAACTGATGTGATGCAGAGAAATCATTTATATTTATCTTGATTTTACCTTCCGTTTATTGCCTGGAACTCCTCCTCAAATTTCTGTCTGCTCTGGGATGCATCATCAGCGTGCTGCCCTTGCCTTCACCCCCTCGTGGTCATGCTCAGCTCCTTCTCTCTCAGCTCTCGCATCCTGAAACTTCCCTGCCTGGGACCCTTTCTGTGCCAGCGCTGCTCCTGCTCAAACTCTCCCACCTGCCCCCTACAGCCCCACTGCCCTTCCTCTCTTACTGCCCCAGGCTTGGAGGAGTCTCTGGGAACACAGTAGGGAGGAAGAGCTGTCCGCCCCTCCAAGGTGCTCTTCTTGAAGCTCTTCACTCTGCAATGCCTGTTTCCAAGTCTTATTGCAGCTTCCCCAATGCAGTGTCTTCTGGATGGCTTGGACTCAAAACGTCTATCAGCCCCAGCCATAATGGCGTCATCAGGGATGATAGGAGCTGTATTCAAACCATCTGAGAAGCATCACATTGCGTACGGCTTCCTTACGGCAACAAAGGCAGTAGCCAACCCTAATAGGTATCTGCAGCAATGACCTGTTCTCCTGTTTCTCCATACTCCCTGTCCCCCCACCCCACTTCCTTCCCCTTCCTTTGTTGTTTCCCCATGTGGCATTTTAGAGTGCAAGCTCTTTGGGGCAGGGACCTGTCTCTTGTACTCTGAAAAACACCACGTACCAAAACGGTGGCAGAAAGGTAAGTGCCCAAGGCTGCAATCCCATTGAATTCAGTTAGGTTTACTTCTGAGTATACATGTATAGGATTGTACTGTAAGGTGCTGGGTTTAGATAAAGGCTAGCCCAGGTTGAAATCCTTGTTCCACCATGAAGCAGCAATGGGAAGGTAATGGGAGGAGATGTTCACCATTTTTGAATGTACTTTTTAGAATGTACTTTTTCTCAGTTTCTGGGGAAAATCAGCCATCCTAGGATGCAGTCGAGATACTTGCCTGCCAGAGAGGGACAGATAAAGCAATGTTCTTGCAGGAGGGATGGGAAATTTGTAGGTAAAAACATCTGGAGGGGTTACAGTTCCTATCATCCCTCACCATTGTCTATTGTGACTAGAGTTGACGGGAACTGTAGGCCAAACCTTCTGAACGAACAAATTGCCTACATCTGTTTTACAACTCCTTCTCTAACTAGTATGAAGGCTTGTAACAAACAAACACTGAAATACTATGCACTGTATCCAGTGTTAGTTCAACTTAGAGTAGACTCATTGCAGTGACTGAGTTTTAAGTTAGATTAACATTGAATGCCATCCCAAGAGGTTAAAACAAGGTATGCATTCAGGAAAAACATGGGCTGGGTAGAAAACTCCTTTCTGTTCCAGAAAAGGTTAGACCATTCCAGACTTTTCATTTGGATCCCTGCCCCCTGCCATGAATCTTCCAGGCCGCTCAGTGGAATCTATTCTGGATTCTGAAGATCTGACCTCGCTTCAGCATTAATGGAATATCTATGGCAGGTTCTGGGGGTTCCTACAATGTGGGAAATGCCAGCGCCAGCGCCAGGGTTTCCCTTTGGACAAATGCAGAACCAAACTGGGCCATTTTGTAAGCAATCAGTGTTTATCCAAAGTGAGACTGGTGTCTTTGAAAACATCTCAAACAGAATTTGAAAACATCTCTTCCAGAATTTTAGGAGTAAATGAAAGGGATAGAGGAACACAGATAATGCATCTGGAAAATTTGATACATCCCCTCCACCCGCAAGCTCTCCATATATAAGAAAAACGCCCAGGAGGGTGTAGGGTGTGTGCAATTTTGTGACAGACAGTTCCAGTTTTCCAGTTGTAAATAAATTTACAAGGGCTTTCCTTTTCACTTCCAGTCCAGGTGCTTTGGAGCAGGAGGTAGGAGGAGCTCATCAGAGGCCGCTCCTCTATTCTCACAATGTTTTGTTACAGTGTTTTATTAAATCTCTCCCAGCACTTTGTCCCTGGCTGCTTGGTAGTGCTATCTCCTAAATGTAGCTTCTGGAAAGTTATAATAGGGAACACTATCAGTAGGCAGTGATGAGCTTATGCTTCTCATTCTGTAACAAAGAGACAAGTTGGATCCAGATTTAGCCACCCTTAGAACAGAGCCATTGAAATCAGTGACACTTAAGATGTCACTTAAGATGCATACCTGTCTTACACTTCATTGATTTCTGTGTCTGCTGTGACCATGACTCTTCTACTTCCCCTTCCTCTTCGTCTTTGTCTGCATTCACATCCTATTTTTTCCTTGTAAGGATGCCAGGAGAGCTTACATAGTGCCATTTTATCCTCACAACAACCCTGTGAGGTAGATGACTGGCCCAGAGTTACCCAGTGCGCTTCATGACTGAGTGGGGACTAGAACCTGGTCCCCAGTCCAATGCTCTCAACACCACACTGGCTCTCAGTCAGTCATTAGCACTGACTAATTCTGGATCCAACCATTATGTGGCTTTTACCAGGATGGTGGGTTTTATAGTTGCAGCAAGCCCTGTTTTAAAGACTATGTGAATGTAGCCCAAACACAGAACACAATTAATTGCCCACGATGTGGAGGGAATTGTAAAACTTTACAATCGTCATACTTGAAAGATTTTCCTTTAATTGCACACATGTTGTACTGTGAACCCGTTCATATGTTTTCTCAATGAAGTGTCATCCATGTGTCTATGCGATTTAAAAAAAAAATCACGTAGTTTCTGTGACTCTGGTGTTGACTGATCAACAAACAAAAAAGCTCCCATAAAACAGTTTTTCACCCATCATAACCATGTGCATCATATTTATTTATTTATTTACTTACTTACTTCCTTACTTACTTACTTTGTGGCTCCAGAAAATCGCACAGATGTGTTTTTTAGCATTATTATTTTCACTGTTCATTTACAAGTGTGCCAAGTGTACTGTTCCAGCTGTCCGATGCACGTACTCTTGCCCGATCAGTGTGCATGTATGATTCAGCTGACAAAAGCACAGCAGCAAAATGGTGTGGTTAATGTATATTGAAACTAACAGGTAAGATTGCACAATTAGTGCACAATCGCCAGGGACTGATTGTCCAATTGTGAATGAAAACGTACCTGAAAAAGGTGGCGGGAGCAGCAAAAGAGTGGGGGGGGGCAGTATCTTCCCCTTGGCAACGTGATCCTGTCACTTTTAAGTGTTGGATGGAGAACACCAGCATCCTCCACTTCTTTAACACTTCCCTGAGTCTTCAGCTATTCCAGAAAGGGAGATGGTGGCTCCGGCATGTTTGGTGCCGCCTCCTCAGAGCCCTTGCTGTTGCCAGAGAGGG